TGTGTGTGTGTGTGTGTGTGTGTGTGTGTGTGTGTGTGTGTGTGTGTGTGTGTGTGTGTGTAAATGAGTGCTGGCTGGAAATGCCTGGGTGACCTAATGCACATCTGTGTTGTTGGAATGATAGACAGAGAGCGTTTAATTTAAAAGTCTAAAAGTCTCCTCCGTGCAGAGGAGCAGAACAGCAACTTTAATCGAGGCATTAAAAAAGTCAAATTTAGGACAAAACATCAAGCAAACAAACAAGCAGTGTGTTATCGGGCCCCAATGCTCTGACACTGGGGATGTGACTAAGGTTATCGTGCCCCCTCCACCAGCAGCTCATGTTCTAAGCTGCCATATCTTATTAATAAACCTGCAGAATAGTAACCAGATCCAACCAACTCATTAGTTCTTCAGCCTCATTCTCAAGCTGTTCTACAGTTTCTCAATGCCAGAAAGAGCTTTATCTCTGAGTTGAAGTTTTACTTATTTCATCTCACTTATCTAGTGTGTTTATTATTCTTATCCAGCTCTTTCCTATTATCATACTATTCATTTTACTTTCAGAAATGTAATTAAAAAGCACCAAGTCCCATTATAGGAAAAAGTAGTTCAGTATTCTTACACCTTAATCCTTCCAGGTCTTGCATTATTTTTAAATCTGTTTCTTTGAAGTTTTGAAATGGTAGTCCACAACCATTTGTTTGTTTGTTTTTACACACAGCAGGTCTATCAGTCTCACAGTCCAAAACCACCCAACCAAAGGGTCTAGGTCAGGGACACAATTTTTGACTTTGTTTTGTATCAGGATGCATTTTACCTCAAGTTGGTAAAAATAGATCTGTAGCTGGAATAGGTTCCATCTGCCCTGAGACGCTGAAACATATAAGAAGAAGAGGATGGATGGATGGCTTATTATGAATCAGTTTCATAATCTACAGACTTCCACTACAGCAAATGTGGTGGCAGAATTATGATGTCCACTAAAAGACATACATTTGTTAAAAAAAAAAAAAAATTGTGAAAAGCCACATTAGTTATTTCAAATTCGAATGGTGATTCAGATTGCCTTATTCATGTGCTTCAAATTTAAGCAATTGACAGACCAATCTCTAAACTTTCTCTAGTTAAAAAAAATCTTGAAAGAGTAGTTTGCCATCGCCAGTGTGTGAATGTGTGTGTGAATGGGTGAATAACTGAATGTAGTGTGAAGCGCTTTGGGGTCCTTAGGGATTAGAAAAGCGCTATAAAAATGCAGGCCATTTACCATTTACCATTTAGTTGTAAAACAGCAAAGTGGCTGTCTGCAGAGGAATGGTTTCTTTGCAGAATTTCAGTCAGGATTAAAAATTCATTACAGAAACAGCACTTATGACAGTTACTAATGACCTACTAATGTTTGCTGACAGTGAACTCATCTCTGTGATTATTCTCATAGACCAGCGTTTTATACTATTGACCACAATGTTTCATTACAGAGATTAGAACACATTGTACATATTATTTGTATTGGGCTGTAGAGCTTTGAATCATTTCTATCTAATAGGGTCCAATTTGTTCATGTAAATGGGGATTCTTATTCATACACTAAGGTTGATTATGGAGTTCTACAGGGATCTGTGCTAGGTCTAATTCTAATTCAATTTATATTATGCATGCTTCCCCTGTGCAGTATCACTCAGTGGCTTTTAGTATAGTATACATTTTCATTGCTGCCCAAATGATACACAGCTGTATCTTTCCATGAAGCCAGATGACACATGCCAGTTCATTAAACTGCTGAAATGTCTTGATTACATAAAGACCTGGATGACCTCTAATTTCCTGCTTGTGAATTCAGATAAAACTGAGGTTCTTGTACCCAAAAATCTTAGAAACATAGTGTCTAATCAAATATTTATCCTGGTTATCTTGACCTGCAGTAACACTGTAAGGAATTGAGTTATTTTTGACCAGGACATGTTCTTCAGTGCCCATATTAAACAAACAAACAAAAATATTAGTAAAATTGTCCTGTCTCAGAATGATACTGAAAAACTAGTTCATACATTTATTACTTCTATGCTTAACTATTGTAATTTATTATTTTATTTTCAGGTTGTTCTAAAGGTCACTGAAAAGCCTTCAGCTAGAGCAAGAGTATTGACAGAGTCTAGAAACTGAGAGCATAGTCCGCCAATACTGGCCTCTCCCTGTTAAATCTGAATTGGATTTAAAATCCTTCCCATCACATACAAGCTCATGAATAATCAGGCCCCACATTATCTTAAAGACCTCATATTCCCATTTCATTCAAATAGTATATGTTTCACTTCACTCTCAGACTGGTTTACTTGGCTCCAAGGGTATATAAAAGTACAATTGGAGGCAGAGTTGGGATTTCCAGTTAGGATTCCAGAGACAGACAACTTCTCTACTAGATTTGGCCTAAAACTTTCCTTCTTGACAAACTATATAGTTAGTTCTGGATCAGGGGATCTTGATTCCTCCCTTAGTTAAGCTACAATAGGTTTAAGGCTGCTGGAGACTTCCCATGATACATTAAGTGTTTCTTCTTCACTCAGATTTTTATCACTATGTGTTTACACACCACTTTGCACTTAGTTACTATTAATCTCTGGCTCTCTTCCACAGCATATCTGTTGTTCTGTCTCCCTCACTCCCTTATTGTATGAACTACCTATACTATAAAGTGCCTTTAGGTGACTGTTGTTGTAATTTCGGAACTAAACTGAACTGAATAGAAAATCACTGTCCAGATAAATCCTTAGCTGTCGAGTGGTAAGGGTTGCTTTGAGAAAACTCAGTGAAAGCCAAGCAGTGACGTTGATGTGTTGCTTTGATTTACAACAGCTGGTTTTGTAATGGCCCTCCTAATCATCCATTAAACATGAACATTTTCAGTATGCACTTGTGCTTCTTTTTGTTACAAGTCAGGGAAGGTTTTTGTTTTGCTTTTTTATTTTTTTATTTTATTTTTTTGAGACTTTGACCTTTGAACTAAGATTACTTTGACAGCCCTACCCTCCTGTCTATGCTTTCTACCAATGAGAGATTAGACATGACAGCCAGCAGTGCCAGTGGTGCAAAAACATCATTATAGTCCCTAGCAAATTCTTAACTCACATATATTTTTATGTACTGCATTTAAACTGAGAACTTAAAATGTAATTGATAAATAAAACAACAATTCAATCTTATCAAATCCAAAATATACACAAACTTCCTTAAAACTGACAGGTTCCGAGCTCTGACTGAGCTACTCTCACTGGTGTTAAGCAGTTCCAGGCAGGACTGTGAGCACTAAAGATCACAGAGACATTTCCAGTTGTTTTTGCTGTGCTACATGAAAGAGAACAGAAAAGTGACAGCTCATCAATTACCAAAAGTCAACATGACCTTTAACCTTTAGAGCACATGCTGAAGGAATCTGTTAAAAAGTGTGATACCAGTGCTTTTTAGTCTGTTTCACTTGCAGTGGCTGACATAAATGACTTAGCAGCTCAGGCTCTGTGGATTTTGAATGAGAGATATTGACTGGTAACGAGTGTTTGAATATTCTCAGGTAATGTAAAGAAAATGTACTTTTTCATTAGAAAACAACATAGGAAGTATACATTTGTGCATTATTAACAGTCTGAAGTGTTACTAAATGAATATAAGTAATAATTAAATGAAAGAAAACACAGAGTTACATGCATATAGTATTGTTACCAGTTCAGTGTTATGATATCATCTCACTTTCCCCCTTGGGAAAGTCACATGACATTTGTTAGGGCAAGAGGAGGTGGAGGGGGTTAAAGTGCCTCAATGAAAACCACATGGGGGGAGGAGAGACCTGAGATCAGAAAGAGAGGGGAGGGGGGAGACAGAAATAGAGAGAGGCCCACTTGAGCTAGTAAGATAAAAGAAAAAAGCTGTAAAGAAGGTCTAAGAGTACACCAAACTCAGAAGCAGGACTGAATCCAGGACCACGACCAGGAGCGGCCCAGTTCACCATGTCAGACTCCATCAGAAGAAGAAGCTCCAGCAGGCAGCTTCTGCAGAACCTCATCAGGTCAGTGGGAAATGTTTTTTGGTCACAGATTCTTCACCTGCACAATAAAATGAGTAGATACATAATGACACATCAGCCAAAACAGTAGAAGAATGCAAATGCATATTTAAATGCTAGCGATAAACTTAAGATAAGTGCATATCTAGCAGATATTAAAAACCTATGAGTACAGCTAAAATTTCAATCAGCCATACTTTGAAGCAAGATACATTTTTGAACGTGCAATATTTGTAATACATCTTATATTATGATCATATGACCATATTGTTTGTAACCAAGCGTCATCTATATTGGCTGTAATGTACAAATTGAAAAACTGTAAAAATGAAGAGATGAACTGATTACAGCAGAAAAGCAGCATGGCTTTTTTATGTTTCGATTTCAACTTAGTCCTTTCTACTTTATCTTTAATATGCAATTGTATGCATGCAGGTCTCATGGTTTAAATTATGTCCTTGAAGATGGGTGATGTGGGTTTTTTGAAAATCAAGACATTTCATCCTCATGACTTCAGCATTACAATGGAGTACTTGGCAAATAACATGAAGCTGTGACTGTTTTTTCAAATGATGTGAGTGAAAAGCTTATAACAAAGCAGTCCAGTATCTCTGTTTTGTACTTACATGTCACCTCACCCCTGTTTAGGTTTATTGCAACCAGTTTGCACCACATTTATCTGAATCGTATTTCACATCCTACTGAAATTGTGTATACTTCTAAACCAGAAATGTGGTAACGGAGAAATTAAAATGTATAGTTTAGTAGTTTTAGTGTTAAACAAAATAAGACAAAAAATAAGTATTTTTCTAAAGAAAACGTAAAGAAGTGTCTTCTGCTGACTAGTTGTTAACCACTGTTTTGGAGCATTACCTGACAAGTTACCAAGAATTAAATAGAAGTTTGTAAAATGAGTTCTAAACAGTTTCTTCAGCTCCTCCTTTAAAACAATGGAGGTAATGGCTCAATTTAAGTTACTTTTATCATCACAATGATTTTTAATTCAACCAGCCATTTGTTGCTTTCTGTTTTCTATTTGCCTAATTTGGCCATTTACAGCAATCTGCTCTAATTTTTCACCTCTAATAGGCACAGGACCCTGAATCAGTGATACAATCATTGTCTCTGTATTTCTTGTATTTCTTGTTTCCTCCATGAGTGCTGGAGCATTGCTATGTGACTATACTCAAAATGACATTAGGCTGAGTTCAGTGGCTTCCTTTATAGCTGCAACTTTCTTAATGTCTATGACATCATCTGGCTGACTCCTGAACCCCCTCCTGCTCTACTACGTACACACATACAGGTACACACACACACAAAGAAAATCCTGTTCTGCAGGCCTGCATTGCCTCATTGTGTAAATGGTGGAAAAAATTATGCTAATCAGACAGACATCCTCTGTAATTTTATGGTTATTAACATTGTGTTAAATACCCCAGCAGACCCCAAGGATACCGTGTAGTTCAGACCACTCTGCAGAGACAATACATTGTCTGAGCATGTGAAGAAAATGCAACAATACAAAACTGTGCTTTTTGGCAGATCACACAAACAGTTTCACACTGCCAGACTGATTTGTTATTGCATCTAAAAGCAGTCGTGTAGAATGCAACAAGTCAGCAGACAAGCCAGCTGTTGGTCACTTCTTTGTCTACTGTTTTGTGTGCATAGATTAAGTGCTGCTGATGTTATACCACACGTTGCATGGATTGATTGTGTAGGTCATCCACCAGTCAAAACATTGGTGAATCCATCCCTGACTCCGCCAGTATCCTCCAACAACAGTTGCCCCAACAGTTACCCCAGTGGACCATATGGGACTATGTGTGTGCGTGAATGTTATAAAGCACCGTATGAATGTGTGTGATTGGTGAATGAGATTTTTAATAAGAAAATACTTTGAGTGCTCAAATAAGTACAAAGGCATGACATTTGCCAGTATTAACATTTGACAGAAACCATAAAGTTCAACTCACCTTAAACAAAGTGATGTGACTCTATAAACCTCACCACACAAATATGCAGTTTATACAGCCGCAATACTGCCTAATCAACTTCCAGAGAGGTACATAATTATTATTTACTCAAAGGAAGCAATTACTTAAGGACATAGTGTCAGTGGGATGTCATCTAATTTTAGATCACATCACAAACCATAAAAATTAAAGACTATGTGAGAGTACTATATTTACAGTTTGGCCAACATATGTAAAATTGCAATTATTTCATGCGTTAATTTAAATTTTTACAGGAATTGATAAGACTACATTTGCCTTTGCACAGAAATAATAATTCAGCAAGCATGATCAACTAATTCTGAAATTTAACCTGACACAGTTTTTTATACCACTTCCTAAACATAGCTTTTAGATAAGCAAACAGTGTGTGTGTTAGGAAGCAGGTAGGCTGTCCTTGAGGCAACAAATTATGCTAAATAGATAACAGGCTATCATTTTCCAAAAGGCTCCAAAACATTTGCATAGCCCACTCAAAAAGTTGACTCTGTTCTTCTGGATGTTGCGTTTCCAGTGTGAGAAACATTAGGTCACTTCATTTAGTGACTTCTTCTGGAGAAGAGTTCTAGACTCCTACATGTTTAATCTGTTCAGGTTAGCAGTTCAGCTGCCATTTTTGTTTTTGGAGCTAGAAGTTTATGTAACAAATCTGGATGAGAGGTTAACAGTTGTCAGAAAATGCTAGTTAGCTTGTTGCCATCGTGTATTCAAAAACCGCATAGGTGCTAATTAGTTATAAGCAACATCCAATCAAAAATACTTTAGTTTCTGAGTGCATTGTACCTCACAATAGGTCATATTATTTGTCAGATAATTTCATTCAAAATGCTCCAAAAGACACCAACAGAAACATCAAACATCAGCGAGCAAATAGCCAACACATATGGACATATAAAGATTTCATGCTTCTTCCCCTTGTTACATTTCATGCAGTAGTGATGAGGTCCAGACAATCAAACCTGATCTCCAATTGACCCATCACCACCCACTCTCTCTCTCCCCATAGCCTGACTGCGAAGCCAAAACAGCCCTGTCACACATCAAATCAGATTACAGCAAACTTAAGACAGACTTGACAACATGACTCCTACTACATCTCTAGTGAGTACAATCGTATGTAGGTCACTTTCCCACATAACAACCACAGCATGTTTGACTTAGAACTTATGGTCAGCGTCCTCACTAAAAGTCTTAAGCAATGAGATTTTCTTCAGTTGCTTATTAAAAACTTTCACAAAGATTTTATCCACAGATGAGCTGATTTATATTTAAGCCTTTTGCATTGCATTGCACTGGCAAATTTTCTGCATGTTTTATGTATTCCTTCAGTTAGAACCAACAAGATCACACTTTTGCCTTTCTTTGTTCCTGCTGTTCTTGTACAGTTTTATGAAACATCAGAAAAAAATATTTCAAAATGAGACACTAAAAATAAAGTAATGTATTTTGAAGCTTTTTGACTGCTGGCATGGGCCAGCAGTGATTATTTGTGGACAAGAGTCAAGAATGATAACTTAGCAGCTAATGCTAGCTTTAATAGCAAACTAAATCCATAAACTAGATAATATCCCTTTTTAAAAATAATAATAATAAAAATCTGACAAACAAACGAAACCAATTATTTGCACCAGGATGTAAATGTGATATTTAATGTTATGTAGTCATATTTTAACATAGCGTTGAATCGACTACCTCACTATTAAACTTACACCCATCATTTATTTTGATGCTTTTTTTCTTTGGTGCAGTTTTCTACCAATGCATACGGTTCAAACAGATTGATCACAGACTAACAATTTCCAAAACAAGTTAGTGTGGAATAAATTCGATGTGATATATAGGTGATATGTATCATTCATCAAGCTAATCATGTAATGATGTGTATACTATACTACAACATGGACATTAGAATTACCATCCCATTCCAGAGAAAGAAATCAAAGCTGAATAGTTGAATGTTTACACACAGTGCTAAAACTTAATCATTTATTGTCTTTTTTTTTTAAATGCTTCCAGGGTGTTTATTTTAAGCCCAACGTCTCTTGTTGCATGCCAGAAATAAAGAATATGCAACAATGTTGTTATGTTTCCAAACAGAAGCAATTAAAGTGATGAATTCCCTGCCATTGTGGCTGTTAAAACTGTATCCAAATTGTAATGAGCTGACATTTTCCTTCAAAACAATGACATCACACTCCAAAGACCCTTTCTGTACACAATAGAAAGTCCAGAGATTTAGGTGATGTCAAACTCCCAGCCAATCAGAATAAATATTTCCGAGGTTTTGCTCATTCCAATTTCCAGACAAGACTTTATCCAGACCTCGAGTTGTATGACAAGATGGAGCATTAAGGTCTCTCTCTGTCCTTCTCCTCCATATCTTGACCTCCTCCTCCACCTCCTCACTCTCCTTCTCTCTGTTTTTCTCTCGAGATTGAAATTAAGTGAAAAAGCACGGCAGCTGGCTCAAACTCCACCAGATGTTCTTGGACAATAAAAGGAGTTATTGTTATCAGGTCACACCCACTGGAAGCTAAAACCAATCGGGCAAATGAACTAATGCGCTTTTGATGGGAAAGAACTCGTTCTTTCCAGTGAATTTTAAATTATGTGTGAAAAACTCATCATGCATAGACTTTTCCATAGGTTCATTTCAACATTGTACCAGATAAATAGCAAATGTGCATAACATAGATCTGGGTGCCAGCGTGGCTGCTCGATGCTAATAAGGTCAGTTCAGTTTTTCATTTCTTACAACTTTCAATCCTCACTATATCATCCTGGGTTTGGCCTCTTAGACTAAATTAAAGGAAATTTTAGTTCAGTGACATCTTTGTAGCACCCTGTGTACAAAGCAAGTTCCCAAAAGATTTTTTTCCCCGAGTTCTAAGAGCATCCACAGAGCCCCAACCTCATTTCAATTCAACAGCTTTGGGATGAGTTGGAGCAATGCAGGCATTATTGCTCAACATCAGCGCTCTCATGGAAATACTGAATCAAAACACTGGCTTTCAGAGCAGCATATTTCCTGGCAGAGTAACCTTCTAAATAATCACATGTTGTTCTAATATTCACAGTAGGTGTCCACAAACTCAGAACAATGTAGCAAATCTGGAAGGTTGGGGAGCCTTGGGCAGTTACATGGGCACACACTGAGGGGAAGCCAACTTTACCATCTCTTCAACAGCTTAAAAGTCCACCAACAGTAATTACATGAAAACTATGAGAAGAATTTTACAACTACTTATGGCTTTTTTTTTCAAATACACTTTTTTGGAAATGTATGTATGTATGTAAAAATTAATGAAGAATTGATTTCCATTTAGAGTTAATATATCCATCCATCCATGTCCTTGCGCTTATCCAGTAAGGGCTGGATAAGCTACATATAGCCTCTTAAAAGGTCTTTTCTAAAATGTATAACATTGCATTTGCATTATACACTGTGTGTCCTGTAAGTGTAATGATATTTGTGCGAACTGCAGGGTGACAGCACAGCGGAGCCAGGAGGATGCTGAAGAGATTGAGCGGGAGAGAAGGAGAAGGGCCAGGGAAAAGCAGAGAGGAGAGAAGAGCCCGTCCTGGCTCGAGCCCACCCAACAGAACCACTACACACAAAACACAGAGTAAGTAATGTTGTAGCACACATTGTTTGTCAGGCCTTCCAGCTTCTTATTCAGCTTCTTACAGCTTTTGCTACATAAATATCAACAAGTCTGTCTAGAAACAGAAAATATAAAAGTATGTAATTTTTCCCGTCACATAACAAATAACCTTTTATCTTAGGCTTAAGCTGAGTTTTTTATAGTCTTCCACCCAAAGAAATGTTACAGAGCTGTAAAAGGATATGTGTCCATCCATCCACTTACATCACTTTTAAAAAATATGTTTTATTGCTTAGAGAGGCTGTACTTTCATTAAACACAAGGACAGCTTGTGCTCTGTGAATACTTCACAGTAATAAATTGATCAACTTAAAACAACAAGAATTCACATCACAAACTTTGCAAAATGTCCAAGTTAAAGACTCTTCTAATGAGTTGCATGCATGTTTAGTCTTTATGCAGCAGTTTATAAAACTTAGGAATGTTAATCAAGTGAAGCTGGGATTAGTACACCAATAAGACAACCAAGAAGAATATTTAATTTGCTTGGATTGCTTTCTAGCAAGACTTCTCAGCTGATACTATCTGTTCCAACAAGGCTTGGTTTCTCTCACTAACCCAACCATTGCATTTACAGCAAACACTGAAGACGGGCTGCTCTTCATGTTTACAGCTCAGCCTGTCTGTGCTAATTGTTGTGGAAAAGCGTGTGTTGGTGTCATCAGTACATTCAGCCCAGTTACCTAGCCCAGTGATGCTGCAGGTAAAGGAGCTGAAAAAGCTGCTGCACCATCAGCTTCCGGTTGTATGGGCAGATGTCAGAAAGGGAATCTCTGGAGGAAATATTCCCATCGCTTGAGTTTATGATACTCAGCAAAAACTGCACAACTCACTCATCCTCTTATCAGAAAATGTCTGTATTAACAACTGTAAGTTCTTTTCCTGACCCATTGCCTTAACTACCACCCAGTCACATATAATTAGTTTGTGAGACACCTGTTATTATAGATTGCTAAAAGGACAAGATTTGAATTAGATGAATCTAAATAGAATTCCAGTTGCTAAAATCTGAAATGCTGAATATAATATGAACCTTTATAGAGAAATCTAGGGTACTCTGGAATTTCCAGTGGTGTAATGGTTAACACATATGCTTGGCAAGTATGAGGGTGACAGTTTGATTCCAGTGAGAGACACAAATCCCCTCTGAGTTTGCATCAGGAAGAAGATCCAGTGTAAGACATTCTGCCAAAGGACATCCAGTGCCTCCTGCTCTAGCAAGGGACAATCTGAAAATGGCTTTTTTTAAAGAGAAACATTTGTGTAAAAACAAATTCTACTTATTTAGAGACATCAGTAGCTTTTAATCTGTTGCTGCTTATAAGGTTGGTTTGCTGACTTGAGGTTTTCTGAAACTGGAGGCAGCAGTGCCTCTGTTTGGTGTTTCCACATTTATTGTCTCTGTTTCCATGGAGCTTGAAACCTAAGATCCCATATGCCACCTGCCAGCCATCTTTCAACAGTTTTGCCCCCATGAATATATTTTCTTTGTTTGCTCCGAAGCAAGCTCACTTGCTGCCTAACAAATTTAACTAAACAGAATCTAAACTTGACTATCAAGTTCTGAAAATGTGAATAGCAGAATTAACTGAAAATAAGAAAACTGACTGGCTTTCCTTTTATATTTTCCTACCTTATGTGGTCAGTTTGGAAAAAAAAATCAGTTCAGCATGGTTGTCATCAGGTCATCTCAGGTCATTAGATGTTGTGCATAAGACTTCAAGTCGTGGAGGGGGTGTAATCATAAGAGGGAATAATTTAAACTTGTGTAAGGGTGTTCCCAATGTGAGAGAAAACCGTATTAATTATTGATAACTATTCTTCTCTTGACTGGGATGGGCTCACTCAGGATAGTAGATTAAAAGCTTTACCTTTCTACACCTCAGACAGGTGAGCTCTCACACACAGAGTCAGAAAATTTCAAATGATCAGACTGGGTCCTGAACTCCATGTCTGCTGTCAAGATTTTATTTTATTAAAGTTAGTAAGATTCTGACCATTTTTGCCAGATTTACTGATTAGTTATTTTCCATCTTCTGCCTAACTTCACATTGACCTTTTGCACCACTGATAGTGATTATTGTAGTGATATTATAAACCTGGATGTCTGCCATATGGACTATGAATGTCATTAAGATTAGCAATAATGAAAACATGGTTAAATTACAATACATAAATTAAGTATTAAAGCTATTTTCTGACAATTATTTACACATTGTTTTTGGTTATACTATGTTGTGAGACTTTCAGGCTTTCCCATAAAGGCATGTGATACTTCTCCTTCCTCTGTTTAAAGGACCAATTACTTATGAGTACTGTGAAAATGTCCAAATCTCCCTAACACAGTCAAAGACTACATGTCAAAGACTACATGACTAAAAACACTGCACCCAAGGCCAAGGCTTCGGTTTCTGAGATCAGGTAAGTGATAGATTTTCTGTGCTCTATTCTTAGGTCAGATGAGGAGCTGAAGCCCAGTTGCTCCGTGGGCCTGGATGAAGATGAAGGTTTCAGTGACTGGAGCCACAGGCTAGAAACCCGTAATGAGCAAGAGATGCAGAATGGCTGCAGGGCAAAGGAGCAGAGACCTTCAGCATCACCACCAAACCCTCAGAGTGACCAACATCAGGTGGATGAAGAGGGACAGGAGGAGGCAGGAGGACTAGAACCAAGGAGTAGGACCCAGGACACTTCAACAGAAGCTCCAGTGAAGGTCAAATAGATTTGTACCTTCAATGGCATACTAACATAGTGTTAAACCTACATCTTCAGTGCAGATTTACCTCACTATAGTGATCTGAGGTTCATTCAGACACAAGAGTTCTGGTTTACAGTTGTAGTAAGATGTTTACATACACTCATCATGGGCATGATTGCCATGTCATTTTGTTATTTTTTTCAGAGTGGAATGATTATACAGCGTACGCCTTTAATGACTTTAAAAACAAGAATTGCGTGCATAGTGTTGAAGCATTCATATAGGCTCAAATTGTCATGTCTGCAGTGGCAGACGGTGAAGAGTGTAGAGAGAGAGAGTAGACCCAAATTCAGACTACCAAGACACAATTTAATATTAACAAAAAGTGAGCCTTTATTTCTGGCTGCATGAAATGCAAACAAAGCAAAGGGAGACTAATATTCAACTAACTAAACACTAAGTACATGGATCGAAATTACCTGGAACAAGAAAAACATGGGACTAGGAAACAAAGGGCAGACAGTCCAACAACAGGCAAAGGAAGACAGAGGGCTAAATACACAAAGGATAATGAGGGGATGAGAATCAGGAGGGAAACATAGCTGGAACTCATCTGACACAATGAGACAGGGAGGAAGCAAAACAGAACACTCTGAACACATCTCAAGGGACTATCAAAATAAAACAGGAAACATGAGCCACACACTTTGACACAGGGACTGGGGAAGAATCAGACATGGGAACATAACTGACACAAAACAGACACAGGCGATAAACAAACATGAAGACAAGGGAGACTAGACATGAAACGTGTAATACAGGGGAGGCACAGTGACAAAACCTAAAGACTAGAAACGAATAGTTATGTCTATAACTTCTGTTCCCTGAAGGAGAGGAACGAGGTACAACACATAAGTAAGGGATATCACGCCCTCGCATGTCCTGGCTGAAGAAACCTTTATTCACGTCTTTAAGGCAGATGAGGGCTGTATCCCAATTCAGGACTGCAGCCTTAAAGGCCGCATTTTAAGGCCGATTACGTCACAGCGACGCGACGAAGGCTGTCCCAATTCGAAGGCTGCTCGAAATGCGGCCCTCAAATGCGTCCTTCATTTCCCTGAATTTTAAGGACGTGGCAGTGTAGACTTCGTGGCCCAACATATCCCAGAATGCATAGCGCGGCGGTGGGTGTGGATAATTTTGCCGAAAAAAAACTGCGGATGAGGGGCGCCCGAAGAGTAAACTTTAAGTAAGTACTGAATATTATGTCACTTATTTATGTGCAAATGTTTAATAACGAAGAACATTAAAACATTACTGTTGGCCACATGTCGGCAAAGTTATGTGACATTAGTGACGTTTGTACTAACTTGGTTTTAAAGCCTGTACTT